ACTTGTTCAATGATATATAAACAACAAGAGAATATCAATAGTGATACAAGATTCTCAATCGAGCAATATTTTTATTGATTTCAAAATGAATTACTGATATATATACATAATCTTATTTTTTACGCATAGATCTCTATTCAATACGTTTCTTTAGGAATTCTTTCAACAGATACTTCGTGGATTAGACAACTTATTATTTCTCATTCTAGTTATAAACAAGATTCAGCTATTTCAGACCTAATTCAACACGATCTACTGTGAATAACGACACAAATTACGGATGGGCATGAATCTTGTTTTCTTCTTATTGAAACTCAGTTGAGAAAAAATTCTAATTTCTATTCGGATTAACATGTTTTTTCCGCAGTAGACAACTGTATTTTTGAAAAGACTTCACCTTATTAATGTGTGGAACAAATAAAAAAACATGTAATACAGCGATGAATCAAAAGTTCAATACCAGTTTAGGTCCACAGATTCTCGGCAGTATCAACGATTTAGTTAACTATACAACTACACTTTCATTCTCGATAAGAGTAAATCAACTATATCAGATCACTTTTGCTAAGGAAAGAATGATAAATCATAAGTTATCTGGACTTACGGTTAATCCTTAAAATATTTTCAAACATTTAATTGTAATCATGATATCTCTATCAGGAGTTTAACGCTTACACTAAAATTACAGACAGAATATTATGAATTAAAATTTCAAAATGATCTAATCGTTTCACATTGTGCGACAATCAAAATGAGACATTGCAAGAAACTGATTGTCTATGACTTCAACACTGCACACAGTAACTTTTATATTGCTGTAATTATTCGACAAGAACATAAAGCTCTGATTCTAAGTCAAACGTGTTCGACTGCAATAAATTCTTTTGATTCGTACCAAAATGAAGTCATATTTCGTCTAGAAACTTTCGTTTCACTCATCTATGACAAAAACTTTGGATTTCTATATTCTATACTTGTTTCTTCATGTTCCATAAAAGATTTCGTTCACAATTAGCGTATGCTCTTGGTATCGAAACTGTAGCATTTGTTCGGTCATAAATATGTTTACAAGACTCGTATAAACTTACAACACGCGATTTTCTTACTGCTTTACTAATTGTCTTCTTTTTAAAAAACTTCATCACTATTACATAAATCCACAAATAGTATAGCTCGAGCATGTATAACATCTATTGAAATTTAGATCATTTTTACGAAGGTCAAGATATCAAGCTTCACGAAACACATCAGTTTTATTTCTAATCGAAAATCTGTAATAAGAGTTCGCATTGCATATCACCAATGTAACGCAAATCGCGAGTTGCCTATCACCAATGTAACGCAAATCGCGAGTTGCCTATCAATTCTATGATTTTATGTGACACTTCATTGTGGTTTATCATATCATCAATATGACATTTATTTTTTTTTGCGTCGACGAGCGTCTAAGCGCAATTTAGAAACAATAAGTACTAGGAGAAGTTTAATCAGTCTTATACTAACTACTATCTTCAAACCGTGTTATAAGTCCGAAGGCCGAGGATCACGTTCGCATCAAATGGGTAAATACTAACTCTCGTTTGATATTATTTGTTCTTCTCCCTTCTCTTCTATTAGAACTTTGACTTTGATGAATACCAAGCGATCAAACTAGTTATTACCTACTTGAATTATAAAGTCACTTGTAATTGTAATTTGTTAATTTTGATCAACAATAATGATTGCAAGACTTATTTATAATTAAACTTTTAAACAACTAAAACAGTCAATATGATTCATATGAGTGATTGAAGCACACTCATAATTATTAGATGTTGTTTCAACTGAAGTTTCAAATTTCGTGAAGAAGTGATAAGTGTTCGTGTACTTAGATAAGATTATAGTCTTAGAGAAAAAGAACCGTTTTGATTATTACGACATCGGATGATTCTTTTTTTGAATTCAACTCAAAGAATGCTCTAATTATTTAGAAATGAATTATTTAATTACATTATTGATCTAGCAGTCAGTTTTATTTATCATTTTCGTTATCTCATATTACTGCGTTTTTTTAAGTTTGTTAATATTCATAAACCTAACGATATACAAAATTTTAAGTTTACGATGAACATCATTTTTTTTTGCCAATAATATCTTAGTAAGTAAAATGTGCCTAGTAAGTTTTGGACATCATGACTCAAATATTTTTCAATGTTGATTGTTATTTTCGTGTTATAAGATGTTTTTGTAAGAAATGACTGTATGTGAGTTATCAGTGTTCTCATTTCTACTTCATTTCTTTCTTTCTAAGATTGATTTCAAACATGCATACAAATACAGTCTTTATACTGTAGTAAAACTTAGTCTTTAATACGTGAAAGTCTATGATTCTGTTTCATTGTAAGTGAGTTTTTATTTAGATATGGCTAATATAAATTCTGGTCATTCATACACTGATATCAATTTTCAATGAACATAAACATCTTTATTATCGGAGTCGGACGCTTCGAATCCATGGATGTCCTTCTCTGCAGCTTGCTCTGTTTGATTTTCATCTTCTTGTGCTATTCGCTAGGTTATTTTTGTTTCTGATTAATGTTTATTATTTACCAATCATTATTCTTTGATGTTTTAGTTGATTTTGAGTCTGTTCGTATTCAGTCCTAGTAAAAGAATCAATGAATGATAAAAGATGATCATTTGAGTTTTTTCAGCCGACAGTAGAATGAACAACACAAAATGAAATATTGAAATATTTGTTACTCTCTACCATCTCTGTCTTGCGTTAAACAATCTCTCAGAATACTATAAGATCGTTTCTTGCTATCTATCAGGCAGAAATTATTTCGAAAAATAATTATTAGATTCCTTTTTGTTGTACTCTTATGATGCACCGTGATACCATCAAGTATTTTCTTCTCACATTTACTCGTCTCATATTGAATTTCTCAGGTTATACAATGACCACTACCAGCAATAGTCACTTCAATGGTTATTGATGATAATCGTCGACTTAGAAGTCAGATCTTGTAGACTATCAAGCGGCTCAAGGATATGGAAAAAATTGTTCGCTATACTTGGATGACTTTGGAAAAGCCGACAATATCTTCACTTACACGATGCTCATACGGTTATGCTAAGTCTCAAGTCTAACTGTTTTTTGTGATCATTTCTTTGACATTTTCCTCTTTCTCTCCTTCTTTTCTTTTTACGTTTTCATCTTCAATAGCCTAAGACAACAAGGGACTGCATTCTTTCATCACAACAGAAGAACGTTGTGCACATAGTAAATCACCTGATTTGTTGACTGGAAATAATGTAACGAGTTTTAGTCAGTAACAAATAAAACAATTATTATATTGAAATTGAATTGAAAGCAACAACTTATTTGTTACACGCATTAGCCTAAAATTCATCACTTTTATATTTTGTTACGTGTAACAAATGCGACACATTCTAGTTTCACGTGTTCTAATGAAAAACAATTTGCTATTTTTATCATATTGTGATGCAAATTGCATTGAATAAATATTATGGAAAAAGACATTTGTAGATTATTAGTAAGGTGAAGAGAAAGAAAGTCACTCCCACCAGCCAAAAAATATAAGAGAAGTGTTAGAAGAGTTTTTTCATTATACGAAGTGAATGTAAGAGCCTGGAGATCGTATGTTTGCAAGTTTACACGTTCTGTTCTGTTCTACTTAGATTGTCAATAGATAACAGTATTTGCTTTCATTTTGCCAAGACAAAAGAAAATCATCAGATTGCATGCAGTGAACTTTTTACAAAAAAAAAACCGTTCTTGAGTCATGCAGCAGGGAATTTCAAGATTTCAAAAACTTCGTAAGTCTAGTATTTTTCGGTTACATAATTATTTCAGACACCATTCAATACAAAAAAAAATATAATCAGTGATGACAATATCATCCTTTTTTCAAATTGAACTGCTATTAAATTACCAATAACAAAATGATTGAAAAACGTTTTCCTTTGTCAAAAAATATAAAAATTCTGGTTGACACAAAGTTATATATATATTTGAATAGTACGAGAGTAGGCGCTCATAAAACGACTCAATATCTCAAACGAAGCAGGGACGTAGCCAGTAGGGGTGCACAAGGTGTCTGGGCACCCCCTTGGCCAAGAAATATCTGGAGGAGGGTTCGAGTAAACAATCTTTCCGAGAAAAAAAAATTATGTTGCTGCTGCTGTGCTCTTCCCATAATGAGTTGGGCACCCTTCTTAGAAAATTCCTGGTTACGCCACTGAGACGAAGATACCACACTCTGATATATCGTTTGAGTTTTTTTAAAATGCATTCTAGAATAATCTTTGCTTATTAGTCATAGTATACCTCATCGATCATAGTTGTAGTTCACGTTGTGATGAGAGTTTAAAAAAAGAATCCAAAGTGACAACATTAACTACAGAATACGATCAATGAAGCACACAACAGTTTATCAACAAATACTTCTTAAAGATGCATTTAAAAAAAATCAAACGATAGATTAATACTTTGTATCTTTGTTTGACATATTTTTATTTCTATTATGAGAGTCTACTATTGTTTTAATCGTAATCTTTATATTTTCAATAAAAAAAATACATGAAAAATTCACAACTATTTTGTTGCCAGTAAAATAAATTTCAAATAGAGAAATTTATATTCAGAATTATTAAAATAAATTTTTATAACCTCTCAGTNCCCCCTCCCCCGCTCCGCTTGTCCGACACGCCCCAAAAGGCGCCCCGGGGGGCCGGGGGGGGGGGGGGCGGGGCGGTAAAGGGTTAAAATCAAAACAGTATTATTTGAATTAAATCTATTTTATTCATGTTTTATTAAAAATTATATTTCAGCTGAGTGAGATAATTCAGAATTTCAAGCATAGGAATTTTATCCAAAGTTCTTCAGAATTTAGAAAAGACTTACCAATTCCTTCATTTAAACCGGGCATCACATCACAGAGGTCATTCGCTACAAATATCAATTCATAAATAAAAAGAAATAAATTTCAAATAAATTAAAACTTACCAACAATTTCTTCTCGTCCTTCAATTATACTAATAGTTCTCGATGGACCTAAATCAAACAAGAACATGATAAATTAAATAGTTTTCTTCATTTCAAATATACAGTTAAGTGAATAAAGTCACACACAACTGACGATGAGACAAAAAAAGCAGAGAAAAGACACTACTTGTGTATTAATAATCTTTTTTCTACGACAAACATAAAAAATACCGTTTTTATTCATCATAATTCCATTTAGTAGATTACTACTTCCACCAACAGAACGTCGTATAAAACCTCGAAATGGTGTTGATGAAGTAGGTAGCGTAAATGATTTTTGCATAAGATTATCAGCTGAAACTGATCCTGATAGCAAACAAGATGGGGTAACTGTAAAGAAATTCTCATAGGAAACGAAACAAAAAAAAGACGACAAAACAAATAAAAATAAAATAATTTACTTGATGGATTTCGATTACTTGCAAATTTACGAAGTTTTGCTCGATCCTTTGAACATTTTTCACTGCTAAACGCACATTCACGATGAAATGCTTGTTGACAATCTAAAATTTTAAATTCAAATAAACTAATTCTTAATTTTATTTTTAATAAATTCTTACATCCACATAAATATCCTTGACAATTTATTCCCCATAATGGTTTTAAACAAACTTGACATAGTATTTCACTTAGAAATTGATGTTCATTTAATTGATGATCTTTAATCTAAAAACGAAAGTTATTTATGATTAGTTTTTAATTTAATTTTGTTCGATACTTTTTTTATAGGCGTTGTTCGTTGTAACTTTGCTAATAAACGTTTTTGTTCTTTATCAAGAAATTTTGGAATTTTTTCTAACAGAATGTTTCCACATTTTTTAATATCACAACGTTTTAGATATGTTGCTAATGCACATATTAATGCAAGACTTCGAGCATTTTTAATACTGTTCCAATCATCAACATATGATGATTTATAATGATATTCAAATATTGACCGTAAAGTTTCTTCAATAAAATGATGTGGTTTTAGATTTAAATCATTAGTAATATTAACAGTTCGTTTATGATTAAAATCTTCAATTTGTCGATCAATTATCATTGATTTTGCATGATCCTTTGCATCATTAAAAATATTTTTAATCTCTTCAGGTGTTTCCGATTGGTGCGCATCTAAACGCCGATTAATTGCGTCTGTTTGTGATTGAGGAAGGCCAATGTAGAAAGGCTGAAAACAAAAAACAGAAATACCAATGCGGAATTTTATTTTTTATGTTTTAATGAATAATTTACACTAGCATTCATCGTAAATGTCGAATGAATTTCAAATATCCATCGGATTAATTCACTACGATTTTCAGATTTTTTCATACGTAATTCTTCAGTTATTATATAAAATAACTAAATAAATGAAATAAAAGTGTAATTGTTATATCAACAATTAACAAAATCAAATTACTAAATGACATGGATCACTGTTTGTATCATTGAGTAGAAAATTAAGAAAAATAGTTAATGGTATCCAATTCGATGAACTAATTGATTGTTGAATATCATCAAATGATGATATTGATTGAACATTTGATGCAGGTATATGAGAATTTTCATCATCAATATCGGATGATTCCTGAAAAAAAAATTATTTTCGAGAGTTTTACTTAGAAAAACTTCGTGATTATATGGAGTAAGAAACTCTTGAACAAGGATGGGTTCGGTTTAGGGTCAGTCAGAAGGGCTAATGGGATTTATTGCATTTATTTAAACCATTGAAGCTATTGAGAGTTGCCTGCTGGTAGCATATAAAACATTTTAATGACATCAAAAGAGTCATTGTGCTGATGGAATAGCATTAGAAGATCTGCACAGTAGTTCCGGTCTTGCCGAGATCGAGACTAATAACATTTTCATCAAGAAATAGATTAGATTATTTTTTCTGTGGTGACTACACACGTACAATTTCACTATTTTTATCTGTAATTATGATAAAAAACGCTCAACAATGCAAATTTTCAATAACTTGTTTAGATTCTTAAATTTTTGAATCAGTGTAATGTAACTATTCCTTTGGTTGTGCGCTTTTTATCGCTGTTTTTGTCTGTTGCGGACATGGACTCTCTATTACTACTATTGAACTTTCAAATATTGAGAAAAAACACTAATTGTTACTCAAAATACGACATAAATCTAAAAGTTAAGGTTGATTCTTGTAAAACTATTCCATGACTGTATCTAAATCTGTTGAATCTGAAAAACAATTTGCTTTTGGTCAAAATAGCAAAGAAAATTTTGGTCTCGAAGTCAGAGCTGTCTTGCAGGCCCTACACAATGACACTTTGATATAGACTTTTGAAACAATATCAATTTAAGATCATGCAGGAAAATTTTATAAATTATTATGAATGGAAAAAAATTGATGTTATAGATCGTTAGCTCTAACACATTTATATAGAAGGATGCTCGTGTATTAATGACAGGTCAAAGTCATTGATGAAAGCTTTTCTTTTGCTGTCGAATAATCATACAAATTGTTCGAAAGGTTTCTGGTTTTTAACAAAAA